TAAGTTTGACCCTCTGAGGCTCCCGTAGTAGTTCAAGCAGTTCTATCTTCCCACGTGCTACTACTTCCGGTATTACTGGGAAGCGTGATTATAATCTGCCATCCGGCAGAACTAAGGTCTGTCTGTTGTGTGGATGTTGTGAGCCAACATGTCCGGGAGAAACAACAACAAGCTGCCCAGCAATCTTCCGCAGTTACAGAATCTGATCAAACGGGACCCGCTGTCTTACATCGAAGAGGTAGGTTCGGTGCGGCAGATGCTAGACAGCCGGGCGCGAGTGATTGACACACAAACGGGGAAGACGCGGGTGGAGTTTGGGTTCTCGCTCGTCTTGTTCAGTTTGGGGACCCCTTGGAATGAGAAAAGTAGTTGAGGAGGCAGCACGGCTTTGAGTTCATCGTCTAGATTTTAAACCAAAATATTTTTCGAAGGTCCCTGTTATTCTTTACTGTGGATCGATTCTACTCGGCGTCCTTCCACGTGTCAGAGTAGAACGGCCCGGTTTTCTAGGCATTAACTGAAGGGTTGCAAGATTGGCGTTAAGAAAAGACCTGGCAGTCTGCTCCCTAAAGAGTACAGCCTAGAGAATCCCACAGGGTCGTTCTGTACCGTCATAGAGCGTTTCGATGAATTGGAATCGACCCTTGGCGCAGCCAACACTGACTTTTACGGGAGCAGACAACAGCTTTTATTCTACGGGCCTGATGAGTGTACACTAACTGCCAGTTTTCAGGCTTTACCATGAGATCTCCTGTTACACTTTGTGTAGACTCTGCCAAAGCTGCCACGGAAATACCTTTTAAAACTTCACTTGTGTTTTAAAGTTTCTCTCCGACCTCGTAGGATTTATCGGTAATTTTTAGTGATAAGTGTTTAGAATGTGTTTGACATCAATATGTAAGAGGCTGCACTGTGCTTTCATTGTACAGGAAGCTGTCCGTTTGAATTCCCGAAAGATGCTGAAAAATTAAATTTGACGCAGATTCTAAAGGGTTTATAGACATCGTACACATTGTGCATGGTCATTAAGGGTTTTTGAGCTCAGGAGTGACTAATCAAAGTAGTAGTTTTTATGTGTAACTTTAGTAGGTGCTTTCTTCACTCACTTGTAGCCCTAAGAGAGTTCTCAACTAAGCTGTTGCTGCAATTACTTGTTTGTGCTTTGCACTCAGCCAGTTGTCATTTCTTCTGTAGCAAACACTTGATACCTGCTTTGCCCTCTCACTTTCTCTCTTGCAAATATTTCACAAAGGAAATTTTCTCTGAACCCTTTTTAGTAAATGAGGGTTGCGGTGGTGTAGATCCTCAGTATAAAGAGAGGTTTGATAAGTTTGAAAGTGGCTGAAATAGAGATTCAGGAACAAATAAATTTATAAGTATAGCCAAGGCTTTGATATGTGTAAAGCACTTAGTGGGGAACTTTGGTAGCACAGTTTCTGCTCCCAAAGATTGGGAGTTTCAACCCAAAGATTGAGCCGTTAATCCTCCAGCAATTTTGTGGGTGAAAGATGGGCAGTCTTCTCCCATGTGAGTTATATTCTTGGGAACTCTATGGAGAGTCAGCTATACTTCAGTTCCGACTGATTTATATTCTTGGAAAGTTAGTTATTAAGTTGGTTTCAGCTCTACAGCATTGAGTATATATTTTTGAGAAAGCACTATGCAGCCATTAACAAACCAGTAAGTTATGAAGACATATACTGCTATGCTTAAGAGCATTGATTACAGAATAACCCAAAATCCTGGTTCTACCATTCAGCAATTGTGTAATCCAAACAGGTAAATCACAGAGCCCCTATGGCTATTGTAGAAAAGAAAGAGATAATATCTATCTCAGAGGATTGCTCTTAATATTAACTTAACAAATACGTAACATATAAATATACATAGATAACACATAATATGTTGTTGTTGTTGTTGTTAAGTGCCGTCGAGTCACAGGCGACTCATAGCGACCCTATGAAGGAGAGTCCTTGACGCTTGGGTGCCTTTCATCCTCTCTCCAAGTTCATAGGGTTTCCGGAGGCAAGCTATTATGGAAGTGGATGCCACTTCTCCTTCCACGCTTGTTTAATCAGGGAGCTCCACCCCACTCTCAGTCCGCTTTGGGTAGCCAACCATTAACGCATTTGACACATCCGTGTCTCAGGGTTCAGCCTCACAGCAGCACATAATATGAGGTGCTGCTAATCAAAAGGTCGTCTCTTTGAGTCCATCAGCTGCTTTGCAGGATTCCAAGACTGTAAATCTATGGAAAGAGATTGCTTTTCTTTCCTTCTAGGGATTCTAGTGGATTCCAACAGTATTTCATTTAGCAGCTCATTCTGTTACAGACTACACTATCCATGCTTCTTCACTAGTTATATAGAGTATGTCATAGGGTAGTAAGTGTTATGGGTAAAAGTAAAGTAGGTATGTGCTGATGTATAGGATGGTGTGGAAGATTTTATAATGGAAATGGAGCAGCCATTGGCCAGCTCGAGATAGTAACCTTTGCGTAACAGCTTGAAGAAAGTGAGGGAAAGCTGTTTGTAGCTCTGTAGGGAAGAGCAGTCTAGGCAGAGGGAAAAGCTAGTATACAGGTATATACCTGGTAAGTTTGCAGAACATTAAAGAATGCAAAGTGGCTAAAAATAGGAAAGTAATAGATGGTGAGAATGAGGACAGATTTTGTAGAAGTAGACTTTTTTTAAGACATAATTTATTTAATGAAGAAAGCTTTTAATGGTTTTGAACAGAGGTATACATTACATGGTATACCTTATCTGAGGGCAGGATCACTGTGGATGCTGATTTTGATGCCTGTTTTTGGGTAGGAAGATAAAGATAAAATCAGAGACACCAGGTAGGAGACTGTTGCAGAAGCAGGAGATGGTGGTGTCGTGGACCAAGAAGTCAAAGTGGTGAGGCTTTAGTGAGCCGCTAAGTAACTAGTAAAAGGGACTGAAAACAGTGAAGTAGGAGGAAAGCCAGGTAGTATCCTAGAAGCCATTCAGGGAAAAGGAGAAACCAACCATATCAAATACTGATGACATTTATAGTAAGCACTGAAATAGACCATTACATTTAATGATTGGTTATTGTTGTTTTTGTTTATGAATAGTTTAGGCAGAAAAGAGAATGTAGTTGTTGTTAAGTGCCATCGAGTAGTAGAGTAGTAGGCGACTCATAGCGACCCTATGAACGAAAGACCTGGACACTTGTGTAACTTTCTTTTATCCTTTATCCAGGTTCATGGGGTTTCTAGAGGCAAGCTATTATGGAAGTGGATGCCACTCCTCCTTCCAAGCTTGTTTTAATCGGGGAGTTCCACCAAACACTGTCCACCATGGATAACCATTCTCACATTTGACAAATCAGTGTCAGTGTTCAGCTTCACAGCAACCATGAGTTACCTCTCAGTACAGCAAGTGGACAGAACAGGACTATATGACCTAGAAGAATGTTTCACCAAAAACAGTTAAAGACAGGCCTGAGGGTCGCGGAGTAGAGTCACCTACCTTTGGCTTGGTCGCATCACTTTCTGCCCACTAGGCCACTTGACCCCTCTCTATATGCTGGTGTTGTTGTTAAGTGCCGTCAAGTTGTAGGCGACTCATAGCAACCCTATGAACGAAAGACCTGGACACTTGTATAACTTTTGTCCGTTCCCCAGTTTCATGGGGTTTCTAGAAGCAAGGCATTATGGAAGTGGATGCCACTCCTGCTTCCAAGCTTGTTTTAATTGAGGAGCTCTACCAAACACTGTCCATCATGGGTAACCATTATCACATTTCAGCTTCACAGCCACCACGAGTTGCCTCTCTCTACAGCAAGTGGACAGACCAGGGCTATATGACCTGAAGAATGTTTCACCAAAAGCAATTAAAGACAGGTCTGAGGGCCATGGATTAGAGTCACCCACCTTTTCCTTGGTAGCATCGCTTTCTTCCCACTAGGCCACCTGAATGTTGTTGTTGTTGTTGTTGTTGTTGTTATGTGCCGTCGAGTCGTTTGCTACTCATAGCAACCCTATGTACAATAGCCCTAAACCCTGCTCTATCCTGTGCCAATCACATTGCCTCTGACACACCCATCCCGATTACCCCAGTCACTGAATCAGTCCACTTCATAGACGGTCTTCCCCTCCGGCACTGTCCCTCTACTCTACCCAGCGTGATGTCCCTCCCCAAAGACCTGTCTTTCCTTGCAGCATGTCCAAAGTATGTCAGACGAAGCCCCAGAATCTTTGCCTCCAAGGAGTAGCCTGGTTTAACCTTCTCCAGGATGGATCTGTTTGTTTTCTTGGCAGTCCATGGTACATTCAATACTCTTTTCCAGCACCACAGCTCAAAGACATCAATTCTCCTTCTGTCCTCCCTAGTCATTGTCCAGCTCTCTGATGCATAACAAGTGAT